CGGAAAATGTTCTGTAGGAATGGCGTCTTGTTTCAAACATTTGTATATTTGTGGTTCTTTGGAGGTGCGTGGAGGTACCAACAACTTTACTTTGAAACTTGTTCGAAAAAGTTTTGCATGGAAATATTGCGAACAAATACGAGCTAGATTATGATATGATAGGTGAATATACTTTGGAATAAGTACCATTATTCAAATTAGTTCATTTTTGTTCGATAGCTTCCACTAATCTCTTCATTAGGTCTCCATCCTTGGAAAAACAGATTTATTCAATATCTTTGCCGTTCGTATATTTGTTGGAATTTACATAACCAGAAACGACACAAGTGGGCATTTTGAAACCATTCTATTTAATTTTCGAACTAACATATTCAAATAGAGACATCGATCAGGCAAACAAATAATGGAAATGACAGTTATATCCCAGTCGACGTCATGCGCAGAACAAGACGAGTTTAAACTTTCTGTCGAGCACACCATATTCTCCTTCAACTATGACCATGGTGTATGATATTTTGTTGTTATTCTCAATATATGAAAAAAAAATCAATTAGGCAGTGACCGTGAAATATAAGCTCCATGAGCAAAAAGTAAAAAGTTCCTCAACTTTCTAGAATATCAGAGGTGACTCTTGATCGGATAAATTTCCGGTGAAATCTGAATTGACAGAGAAGTGGAGAATATGCGGAAATCCTTCAAATACCATCCACCTATACCAAATCTAATTTTGATAAACCTCATATATCAAAAGTTATGACTTGTCCAATTACTTCCAAACGAAGGTGCATAATTATATGATTGCATGTTGAATAAAAAAATGTTTCTTGTTGTAGATATGGAGAACTGGTTACACCTTGTTCACTCTTTTCATCAATATGAGTGGAAGGAGAAAGAAGTTCTAGAAGAAGCACGTAGAGGAGAACTAATTCTAGTATTTATGTAGAATACCTAAAAATCATTCACCATGTACCTAGTGTTTGTGCACTGTAGCAGCTAGATATATACTCAATTAATACACGATATTTCTTGATTTAGGGAAAATATTTGATAAGCACTTTTGTGAATAAAAAACTGGTGAAAATAAGAGTGAATCAAGTATAAACATTCATTGATAAAATACAGAGAGATTATTCTACAACTGTATTCTTGAGAATTGTCATAATTTCTGAATATAAAACATCAGTTCTGAATATTGAATAGGCGTATATAGCCGTGGAATTGTTTTTGGTTGAAGGAATAAAGAATTGTGATTTGTTAACTAACTATATATATTTATAGTTCAGTTCTTGTAACAAGATTTCACTAATGTGTAATTGTTTCTGGTTTTATGAATCAAAGACACCGACTTTATGTAAAGAACAAGGGTACTTAATTTTTGACAATCTGTGCTCCCTGCATAACTCTTCACAAGAGGTTCTTGGATCAACTTTGCATATTTGCATATTTGCAGTTTCGACGTCTTTGGTTATTTTAATCTGTAGGGCCTCCACAGATCTATCAGCCCATGATATGGTAGTGTCATCTACAAAGAGAGATATTTCCCCGGATATATATTCCATTCAGTCATATCATTAATATAGAGCAAGAACAGCAACGGCCCAAGAATAGAACCCTGAGGTACTAAATGATGAATATTTGAGATATCTGAGGTGACATTTTCGATAGGTACCAGTGCGGAAAGTAATTCTTTCCTGCACGCGACTGCCGGGTGCAAACAGTCGAGTGCGGGAAAGACGCTTTCCACATGAGTTAGGAACAATATTTTTTCTACAAGCGTAGGAAATTGATTGATTTGTTCCATTAATCATTCATTCATTCATAAAGAAACAACTAACAAGAGAAATATATTGTCTATCTACTGATTATTAGTGATAGCTATTGTGAACTTACAGTTTGGCGCATTATCGATAGGTTCATTGCGAAAGCTCGCAGGTCCATAAGGTGTTTGGTCTCTAGGTTTCAGACACTTCTAGGAAATGAGCCAAAAATACTTCTTCTTTATTCGGTATTTTAATTTCTTTATTGTTGCAACATTCAATAAAACGCGTGTATAGCTTCTCATACCTTCCTTGAGAGTTCGTTGGCAATATCGCATCTGTATCGCATCCCTATAGCTGGAAGTTTTTGATCACATTGTGGCAATTCCACTGAATCGAAAATGACAGTAACGCTGTGTCTGTCACTTCGACAATAACAAACTCATTTGAGGTTCGATTGTCATGACAACAATAATCGTTTGCCATCAGATCAATCCAAATCTATAGAGGGTTTTATATAATAATCAATTTTTATTTTTCGATATTTTTTAATTTTCACAATAAATATTGTAATTTGGTGGATGATTCTGAACATACATACCTAATACTGCCACAAACAAACTCAAACTCTTATATTCCATCACCTACCACTTATATTTTGCCATATTATCACATCTCCGTTTTTCCCGCCTTAGTGTGGGAAATTTTTTTCTGCAATGTGGTGGGAAAATGACACTGCTCAAACTAAATTGGGTACAGGGTGAATCACGCACGCTTGTAGAAAAAGAATTTTCCACCTCTAGGCCGCGTTTTTTTCAATGCTAGAGGTGAGGTCCCAATGCAGCATTTCTGTTTTTCGCCTCACGCAGTTTGATTGGTGACGCGTAATTGAGAGTTGCTGTACTATTTTTTATTATTTTCTTCAATTCCCTGTGAAATTTCCTATCATTGTCATTTTGATTGAAGTTTGCATTGAAAAATCTTGAGAATATCTGAGAATACTGAGAATATATATAGGATATTGCTTGCAAGATATACAGAGCTGAATCAGATAAGAAGGTAATTGATCATAGAACGAGAATAGCACAGTGAAAATGAGATAATTAGGAATAGTCTCACACCGGGCGGTGCAGTTTTTTCATTTTCCATTGTCACTCGAAATTAGGGCTTTCCATCATCTTCATTATTATATGTATCTTTCCGGTCGAGTAACCGACAAAAATTATCACCCACTCCTATGTCTGATAGAGGTGGCAACACGGTATCAATGACAATATTTTAGACGGATAGAAAATGTTCAATTATCAAAGCATATAAATTTTCACAATGATCTGTCTTTTCGTTCTTCAGATACTTCTAATAGGCCATTCACTGTGGATCACCCTGTATATCCGGAGAAAGAATAATTACTTTCGTCCCGTGGGACCTTCTAAAACCTGTCAACAGAGATGAGATTTAAAACTTCATTCCCGTCACAGGAAAAACAACGTTTTCTGTATTTCGTGCATCAGATTCATGTTGTCATGGCACATTTGAAAACATTTTTTGCCTCAACCCGCGTTCTAGGCCCAAAATCAAAACTCTCATGTGCCATTAGGAAAACATTCATTTAACGCTCTTAATAGAACTATTTATGTATCAAGAACGTTAAATTAACTTTTATGGAACGTAGCGTGTAAGTATGAGAGCCTGATGGGCGATATAGCGAGATCTATCAACAAGTTTAGGTCAATAAAAGCAAGTTACGCCCGAAATACATACATTTCATCTGCAACCAACACAAAAGTCGTACATTTCAATACCAACATCAGCTCTGGAATAAACGTTTCTTTTCCTGACACTAACATAGGTCTGTTGCTGAGCAACACTTTCAGTTCCTAGGAGCTGAAGTTGAACTTCCCCTAGGAACTGAAAATGATGTACTAGGTCAACAAGAATCAACAACATTTTCACGGTTGGTTATTTGGGTTGGGACGTATACCTGATTTGTTGCCGATTTCGGCAGATTTGGCATTTCGTACCCATGCTGGAGATATAAATACACCATATAATAGTTACGTATTCTTGTTTTGATCAGGAAAGCCTTCGAAATTCATCTACTTGCTTGACCTGTATTCCATTCGTTATTCTCGAAATTTGATTGATTGGATAACTTGTTTTTGAATAATCACAGCCAGCAACATTTTTTTGCCTCACACAACGATATTGTTCAACTTCGTTTGATTACCGAGCCAAATACAGTGGCAGTGGAATATGGATGCAAACTAACCTAACATTTTCCACTTCTTTTTCCGATACCTGGCACTGGCGCGGTATTTGCTATTAGGGCTGACACCTGGTCCAAATGAATTCATAGATTCATCGACTCAATAGAATACACGAAAGGGTCACTTTGTGGTTGTATTTATATTGAAACTTACATTCGAATATCTTTGAAAATCAAATGATCCTGATCTGTGAATGCAATGTAAAGTAGTCTGAATTCTTGTTTCTATCTACTTACTCATATTATTATAATAAAGGTATTATAATAATCTGTCAAGTGAGTCACTTCGGTGGTTTCGTCACATATTCTTTTAGTTAATTCTTTCGATCAAAAGTGACTTTGTTTGACAAGCGAATTTTGCATTTGTGAGGCGGAGCGTCTAGCGAAGCCAAGCGAAAGCAAAATTGTCACTTTCCATCCTAATGAAACAATTTACTATCATGAACGGTATATTTGATTTTTGATTGTGAATATTTCTTCACTTCTCAAGAATGATAGAATATCATTGATAGAATCAACGTTACTATGGTAACTCAGTCAATTTTGTTGAAATAGGAGTTAATTATAGTAACTGTCAATTAATGTCATCATAGATAACTTATTTTGGGTTCGATCATATCATTTTGCATCTTAGAAATATCAAGAGAACTGAAATATTAGATATATTATATGACACATCATAACAAAAACATGAATGTCTGAATTATGGAATGTGGAATTATGGAATGTTTATTACCTATCAACTTTCACCTATACGCCAAATGATATATATATATGTATAGTACGCGGGCAATGAAATGAGAATTCACGCCCGCAAAACCGGGCGGTAAAGTGCTACTTTACGCCCGATTGTGCATAAAAGCAATAACAGTTAGAACTTTTAGGCACTCTAGACTAGGTATACTTTTTCAATAGGTTTCGAATTCATTTTGGAACACTGATGCATGTCCAGTTATGTGAGGAGAATTGAAAATACATTTAGGCATCTGTTTTTTATGGCAACATGGAAAAACAATTTGAATATCTTGAACATATCTCAACGGGATACAACTTCTCAACATGCATTGTAAGTGATCAACATTTAATATTAGGTAGGTATAGGTACACCGAAAAACTAACATCAAGAAATCAAAAGTAATTTTCATTTCGCAGTCTCTTGATGAAAACTGGCTCAAGATCTTCATCCTCCTGTAACAAAAATAATATCAAACAAATCATCATAATATGTGATATAATGAGGAAGGAGAAATGTATCACTAACTAACGAAATCGGTGTCCCAAAGAGAGCTGTAATCTTTATTTCTTCCTAATTTCTTGAAACTAAATTCATTGGGAAGTGTTGGTCATGTTGTTGTTAATTCGACTGCCGATGATTTTCTTAGTAATAATAATAATAATTTATTTACCAGAATATAATATGGGCAATGTACAAAAAATTTCCATAGACAAAAATTATCACAAAATTTTGATACATAGGTATATTGAGAGAGGCGGTAAATAAATTTGGATGCCACTAAAGGTAGACCTTGAAAGTGGTTCTAAATTCATGACGTCTGATACGTGTATGTTTGGGGTTACTTTTAATATATAATTCCCTACCTATATGCCAATACAGTTAACATGGTAACCTAAGACTAATAATTTAAATTTTTCATAGTTGAAACAGGTTATATGAAATGAAAGATGAAGTGAAGGAATGATTTAAAGGATGCATACAATTATCATTAATGAAATTTCAAATTCCAAATAAGAGTCAGCCCGCGTAAGAATCATTCTTGATGAGCTGGATTGAATCACAGGGTCAGCTTGAGATTATGTGTTTTATTATGCTATGTGTTATGTGTTTTGGTATGTGTTATGATGTATTACTACTGTGGATCAGTTGATGAATTTCTATTCTTGGCTTTTCTTTCATCCACTTTTTTATTCTAATTTTGAATTGTGAATTTGAATGAAGGTTCCTCAGCTGCAATGGCAATTCATTGAATAGTCTGGGACCTAAGTAGAAATAGGACTTTTGTAATATATTTTTTTTTGATCTTGGTACTTTATTGAACCTAGCTTTAGTGCGTGTATCATAGTCATGCGATATAGCTATGAGGTCCGATTTATATTTGTGTTGCCTTACTACTATAGTTAGAAAGTACAACTGTCTCAAGTCCATGAATGCTGTTTCTAAGTACAGCAGATCAGAAGAATAAAGCCGAGGCTTTTTATATATGACTTTTATGATGCAATTTTGTATGACTTCAAGGCTTCTGATATGGACGTTGTTCGTAGCTCCCCATGCGATGATACCATAGCAAAGGTGACTTTCTGCCAGAGCATGATATAGAATTCGTAATTGTTCCATTTTCAATAATTTAGAGAGGCATTTGAATTTATATATAGTGCACCTCAATTTTTTGGTCACATAATTGATATGAGCATCCCATCTGAGATGACTATCTAAGAAGATGCCTAGATATTTGAGTGAGTTAACTGACCGTATGTTCCGTAGTGATTCCTTACTTATAGATTTTTCATTACTATTGTACAAATAAGAGCAGTGCCTGAATCTTTCGAACCATTCCCATCACGTGATATGTTGAGTTCATGTTTTCTGATGATTATTTTCCGCAATGAAATTGTGGAGGCTGAGTTTGGCCTGGGAGTTTCATTCTGGTACTCTAATAGCATGGCGTCAGTCCACTGTGAACTATTGTTTGGTGATTTAGGCTTTCAAGTATATTCTATCTTCCTCTCGAGATCCCATCAAGAGTTTCGTTAATAATTCTAAGTTTTTCTACGAGTGAATGCGCATGCGTCCATAATGTATCACTTGATTCACTGTGACCAATCTGACAATGAGGACTGGGAATGGTTCGAAAACTTAAGGCTCTCGTCAAAGAGGCTTGTAGGTATATGTAGGTACTGATTATATAGTATTTTTTTATGGAACTATTTCATTTGTGATAATGTAGAACATCAATGTGTCAGAGTCTACTTGGGCGGTCTGGGAGACGTATATATTTATTTTTAATTTATTTATTGTTAGTCCGTTCTACAGATCATGCGAACTACAGAATATGCAGAATATAAGTTACTACTTATACAGAGATTTGTACAGTTCCAGAATTATATAATCTTAACTGAAGTAAAAAGACTTAATCGCTGAGATAGAACAATGAACGATGTGTAGCTGATGATCTGATGAGTTATTGTATACTCGAAACACATGTTATGGAGAGGGGAGTATTTTTTCAAAATATTTGCTCGTGGTGCCGTGAGATAAAATGTATTGACCACTCTAGAGTTTGCTTATAGACACAGTGAAACTAATAGCGAATTCCATTGGTAAAACTGGTTCGCCCTGAGTGCATATTTTGTATTCCATTGGTAAAAGTGGTGTCGAGTTTCGAACTCCATCGTAAAGCAGGTTTACATATCGTATGACATATTTTAGAGCTCAGTGCAAAAATTCTCGCACAAGCTCTTATAGGCCGTGTGAAGTCAGTCGAGTGGCGGAAACATTGAATATGCATAGTTTGGGCCAATCTAATCATCATGAAATGAATATGGGAAGTTGAAGGTTTCAAGAAGATGAAGAAGGTTACTTCCCAGAATTCGTAATTCTGTTGGGTGTTTTGCACTAATTCAATGAGTGCTCAAAATTACTCCAATGAGCCATATACTTCTTTTTCAATTGAAGTTAAGAAATAATTTCAGGATGCACACTATAGCTATAAACCAAGACACTCCAACTTATCCGATTTAACCTCCAACAATAATTTTATCATAATATCATTTCGTATTCCATTGGAAATGCACCAGTTCACCTTAGGTTAGTATCAATATAACGATAATTCGGCAGTTATCGAAAACTATCGATATATGCACCCTTCATGGGAGGAACATGGGAAAGGCTGATCAGGAGTGTCAGAAAAACATTTAACACAATCTTGAATGGACATAAACTGAAAGAGGAAACTCTGACAACTTCTTTAGTGGAAGTAGAAAGCATTTTGAGCTGCAGACCATTGACGTACGTTTCGACTGACCCTGCTGACATGGAAGCGCTGACTCCAAACCACTTTTTACTGGGTACGTCAAATGGGGAGAAGCCAGAAGAACAGATTTTGAAATTTTGAAGGAGAACGATGTGTAAGGAAGGAATGGCATAAGACCCAACAATTAGCCAATTAATTTTGGAAAAAGTGGACGAAAGAGTATATGCCAACCCTATCGAAGAGAACGAAGTGGACAAATGATTCACCACCGCTGAGAAAAAACAACTTTGTGATAATAATAGAAGGAAACATGCGAGATTTATGGAAAATGGGCATAGTAGAGGAAATTTTTCGGGGAACTGAAAACAGGATACGAGTAGCAGATATCCGAACCACAACTGAAACTTTCCGGAGACCTGTTGATGCTAAGTTGTGTCGGTTGGATATCAATCCTGATACTCCAGAGGGGGGAAAATGCTGAAGATTATTGTTGATTCTATATTGTGAATGTTAGATTTGAACCTGTATAAGGGACTTTTGGTTGTTGTCAATTTTGATTCGTAATTAAATAAAAAACGTCAATACAATCCAAGACTTTTTTCGTTATTATTCGACCAGACAATAACATGGTCCCTATATATTTTCTTATTGGTGCCATTTGTTAGTACGTCAAGCTTTCTCAATGTTTGAAATATTCGTATATATTTCAATGTCACTCTGCATAAAAGTTACAATATCTTGAAAACCGTCAGTTTTTACTGAGGTCAAGTTGTGGTTTGTGGTTTCCTGATAGGTTATAAACTTGTTCATCACCAGCTAGAGTATGATTCACGGTTTACTAGACATCCTGTGTCATATACAGTGCGCACCATATGTAATGGATGAATTCACTCATGAAAAACCTTGGAACAAGTCGATTAATGTTTTTGAAAAGACACTCTATGACATGAAAAAATACCTTCTGCTTCACCCCCTTCAACGTGACAACCACTTCCCCGATTACTCAAAATGAAATAGGGGTTTGAGTGATACCTCTTATTTGACGCATGATTGAAATTCAAAAGAATTGGGTGAATAGACAATTGAATACACTCCGAAATTAGGTACCACTCACCTCCCTATTTAAAAATTGGCGGGGTTAGTTGTCACGTTGAGGGGGGTGAAGGAGGGGGCATTTTTCATGTCACAGAGTGTCTTCAAAAACATAAATCAGTGTTTTTCTGGGTGTTCCTTGAAAATGGCTGATAATGTGGAAAATAGATTTATCCGTTACATATATGGTGCGCACTGTATATTGAATTTCAATATAAGTATAGCATACCAAGTCATCTCACCCGGAATATTCAGCCAAAGATGGCATACCGAGGTGATTTAAAAACCTTCAAATATTAGAGTTTTATCAATTTTTATTATTGTTAGGCTAGGTATTTTCATATTTAAATACTGAATTTTAGCTCTTGAACCTCAAAAGTTATTACGAAATGTATGCCGTCTCGGGCACGTTTCCCCTAGGTATAGATACTAGATATCTAGGTATAACTTACAGGGAAATATGTCGGTACATCCATCTCCACTGCTCGGTTTGTTCCTCCTTCCTTACATGTTAACCAGTATGTATCCATAAGTCCTTTACCCTATAGAAATTGAACAATAATTATAGTAAATAAATACAAAAAGCTCGAAGTCATATCCACACAATGTTCATAAAATCAACAACAATGGTAGATTTCGGGAGGAAAACAACTACTTTCCTGGCTAATGCCATGCAGAACATTGGATTACATTCTCCCGAAATCCAGGCATCGACTCGTGTAAACGAATACTGACACAAGTGAATCTTTCCTGAATGCCTATTGATTTCGATTCAGTCAGGCCACACTAGACACCTACAGACCGGTGCCGAGCTCCTTGACTCTCATCAGTGCAGGGTAGTCTCCAGCCAGCAGTCCTAAGACCGCCGACTAAGCGAAGCCTAGCCAAACAGAAATCAAATCGGTATTATATTCTCCCAGAAGCGACCTGCATAGACAATATGAAAGCAACGCCATCTGAGTAGAAAGGAAGGAAAGAAACACTCCTAAACTAAAAATCCCATAAGGAAGTGGCTGGTTGCCCGTCTAGAGTAACTTCAACTATGAAATAGTCACAATGCTCAACAGTGGAATAAAATGTTAAATAAATACAAAAAGCTCAGTCATATCCACACAATGTTCATAAAATGAACAACAATCTGCGTGGCATTAGCCAGGAAAGAAGTTGTTTTCCTCCCGAAATCTACCATTGCTGTTCATTTTATGAACATTGTGTGGATATGACATTGAGCTTTTTGTATTTATTTAACATTGCATTCCACTTTGAGCATTGTGACTATGTCGTAGTTTTAATAATTGTAGTAATTAAATAATTACAATCAACCATTTCGAATATGAATGGCATTTTTTTTATCAGCAAATAATCGATTGTCAGCTTGAAAATCACCAATTGTTTTCACGAGAATAACAATTTCAGTTTATTGACTATAGCGTTTATATATAAATATAATATCGTCTAGGATGTGACTCTGGCTGTAAAATCGTAATTGTCGCACGTTCGATTCTGAGAAAAATATTATTGAAATAGATATATTATATGTTGCCGTTGCAGCAATCACTGACATAAGCACTATCTAGACCGCTACCTCAAATGAAGTGACTTCGAACACTTTTTCCAGGTTTTTCGCCATAACTTTTCGAAGAATCGTTCTTTCCCCTTCAAATTCTCACTGAAGGTAGCCCCTGTATTGCCTTCATTGATTTGTCATATAGAACATCCGTTTTTCTTTCCGAAACTATTTTAGTTTTTCATTTGAAAAAGTCACCATGCAGGTGTGGTGACTTCGGACACATGTTGAGAACTGAGTAAAACCGACATTCAGCTACTCAACTTCTGACACAATTTTTCATTTTTAAAACAGGGAAGAAGAAAGCGTGTCCCACTTTTTTAGTCTCGGGAGATGACTTCGGAGTGCGCGTCCGAATCAGAAATTGATATTGTTCTCCCATCAAAAATAATTCGGATACAACAAGCATAATTATTGAAGAAAACGAATGTTTAATTTCAATCTGAACAACTTGGTTAACATAAAAATAAATAACACTATCTGACTGAAGAACAAATATGTCAACAACAATCAGGTGATCTGATAATGAATATATAATCAGGAACTCATTTCATAACTCGAACACAAATGATAATTGCAGGTAACTTCAATGAACTAACATCACTATATTCTATTATTTCGGTTATAAAGTCGATATTTTATCATCTGTAAATCAATAACGTTTCCATGAATCAAAGAAATGTAACGGATATCTATTCAGATTACAGATTGGCTCAAAACAAGTTGAAAGCTACAAAGCGTACAAAGAGTTGAGCCGAAAATATGCATCTCAGAAAATTTCCAAGCTCGCAATATAGAAAATACTGTAGTGACTTTCTGAATATTGCATCACTTTGTACCTTCACGTCCACTAGTCCTCTATGTTCCGTCCTATAACCACCTATTGTATCCAGCGCTTTCTTCATTTCTAGACTGATGTGAATTTTTGATGCTGAAACGAAAATGAATAATTCAAAATGTAGGATGGAGTATTCACGATAACAAATATTTTCTTATCCATTTCGATCCGTTAACATCTCACCGATACTCACTCTATGAATTAAGATACTAATAAGAGTAGATAGTCGTATGTTTGAGAAATTATTCCATGAAGAACGAAGCGAAAATAATACGGTATCAATGGTGAAAGATGGTAGTACTCACGTGGAGAAGATAGAACTTTTGAAATCACATGAAGTTACAAAATTATTTCATGAAAACTTAAAATAAAATGCCAAACCCATCTCTGACAGACAACAACTCTAACTCCAGTTGTCAATGGTGATGCAAGACAAGAGACGATTGGTCCCATGAAAATCATGACAAACTTCTGGATGGTGCCTTCAGAATATAAGGATAGTAGGGAGACAACTTAAGGTTAACAATGCTATGAGAATTTTGAAAAGGAAAACTTACACTGAAGACCAAAGCAAGAAGGAACAATAACACAACATTAGGAACTCAAAAATTTGTTGTGCTTCACGTGCCCTAACAACACAGGAATGTCCTAGGTACGTCCCTTTTTTGTCCTGCGGTACAAGGACATGATAAGAGCATCCAGGGGATGTCCCGCAGTGGTTGTTCAGAGGACATCCCGCCCGGTACATCCCTAGGTTATCCTAATCGTGTCCCTGGAATATCTGATATCCATTCACATCAGTCATTGAATTTCATCAAAATATTGAGTTGAATTTTTTTTGAAAATGTTTGTTTTTCTTCCGGAAAATAATTGTTATGAAAATTAAGGATATAGTCTCAGAACTTCTTGAGAAATGATCATTTTTCGCAAACAGAAATCGTAAATGCATAATACCCCTCATTTTCAATCACCCAAGAATGCTTATAATTATACATCAAATCCGAACAAAGTTGTATTCATCCTGGTTTCAGTTTCGTACTGTTTTTAAGTCTATTTCCCTTGGATGTCCTTTTTGTCTGAAAGTGAATGTCCCTGGGACGTCCCTAGTAAGTACTTTGTCCCGACAGAGGATATCCCTGGGATGTCCTAGTATAACATCAGGGACGTCCCTAGGATTTACTCGTGTTGTTAGAGTGAGTAAGTTCTACTTTGTTTCAACATCGATACCCTATCATAATTGTTTGTTCTCTATAGAATAATTTCTTAATCGGCTGATGAAGGATACTCTATAGATTCGAAACAGGTTCCTTTTCCATTTATAATTTAATAATATTGAACGTTGTGTAGACGACTTGGAGTATTATAACTATATGAATTATTTTCCATTCTCATGTATCAGAATATAGTTAAATTCACAATTATTATAACATGATCGTCTCCAGAATCAGACATTATCAACATAGAATAGCTATATTTCAAAATTTTCAAAAGGTAGGTAAACAATGATAGCGTTTGCACAGGGGCGTTCATTATAAAAGGTCACTGAGATTCGTGTGCAACAAACACTCAAGTGCATGAAACATCGAAAAGAAAGTGACTATTACCGCAAATAAATGTTTGTTGGGATATACCCAGGCAACCATACGACGAATGATCAAGTCACTGTGACGTACCTAATTGGTGATTTTTCGTCAGAGACGTCATACACCAATTTATGACGACACTATGACGTACTTTCTATGACCTGTAAATCACGTCATCATCTCGACGTCGAGTGAACGTCACTTAGAAGGGTAAAATAAGATGACAGTTTCATAACGTTGCAGGGACTTCCTGTCGACGTCCAGACGTTTCCCAGATCATATCTAAACCATGTACAGGGTGATTGACTATGGATTTCTCGACTTCAACAGCTGATATCTCGAAAACGAAAAAAGATATTTGAAATTTGGAAAAAGTTACTTGAATGAGATGTCATTTCCTTCTGGAAAATGTGTTATCTGCTTGATTTTATCATTTCATATACAGGGTATGTGGAAAAAAAAATGTTTTTTCAAATGGAACCCTCTGTATACTATCGCATATTTCGAAAGAGCTATCTTTCCTAATTTTGAAAATATATACTTTTCATATATTATTCTATCGAGTGCTTGACGAAATATCAGCAAAATTAAATATTAATATTTGGTCCAAGTTAGCTATGGTTGAAATAGAATGAGATGATGAATAAGTGAATTGACATTTGGTCAACATTTCAGTGACATAAGTGCGCAAAATTTCGACAATTTTTTCACGATGCCATATCCACTGGAACAAAGAAGAGATATTTTGGAGTGCTATTTTTCAGTTAATAAAAATCTTGCTGAAACACTTCATAAGTTTATGAGGAGTTATCCAGGCAGAAGATTACCAAGTAAGAATTATGTGAAGTATTTGGCTGCTAAATTTGACAGTACTTCCAGTTTGTCGAATATTAAGAGAATTGTGAGAAGGCAAGACAACGAAGACGAGGAACTTCTTGTAATCCAGTATTTTGTTGAGGATCCTTCACGGTCAATAAGGAATGCAGTGAGAGAGTTTGGTTTCAGCTATTATTTTGTTCAACATACCTTGAAGAAATATAAATATAGGGATTTCAGAATTAGACCATGCCACAAACTCAATTATGATGATAATGAGAAGCGGATTGAATTTTGTCTTGTCATATCTGAAAGATTGAATATGAGACAAAGCTATTTTGACGATATCATTTGGACAGACGAGGCTTGTTTCACTACCAGTGGTATGTTCAATAGACGGAACTCGCATCATTGGGCATCCGAAAACCCCCATGCTTTTCAAGCAATACAGAAACAAGGTCGGTCGTCTATTCTTGTTTGGTGTGGCATTCATAATGGAAAAATATTGGGACCAATCTTCATAGATGGGAATTTGGATCAGAGAAGATACCTGAGCCTACTTCAAAATGAAATTCAAGATTTCATAGACGAAATGCCACTAGAAATATCTAGAAGGATAATCTGGCAACAAGACGGTGCACCTTGCCATTCCACAAACCTCATTATTCAATATTTGAATTCAAATTATAATGAGTGGATAGGAAGGCGCGGCACGATTTCCTGGCCACCAAGAAGCCCAGATCTTACACCACTCGACTTCTTTCTGTGGGGAACATTAGAAGACAGAGTTTATAGGCAAAGAGCCAATAATTTAGATGAAATACGCGAAAAAATAATAGTAGAGATTGCGGTTCTAAATGCAAACCCGGAGCTTTTTGATAAATTGAAGACTTCATTCATCAAACGCCTGAATTGTTGTCGTGAAAATAATGGAAGTGTTTTTGAACATTTGATTTGATCGAATTCCAGAATTATTTTTGTTATTGTTATAGTATGATTGTCAATAAATAAAATGTTGGATGCGTATTCATCCTATTTGCTCTCGAGAGATGGAATATTACAGGAAAGTGGGATTCAAATATCAATTGAGGTATATCAGGAGGCCAGGTAGCCGCGTGCCGCGTGGTAGAAGCGTTAGTATTCTATTCACGTTGGCATGCCGTTTCGTCAAGCCCTCGATAGAATATATGAAAAGTATATATTTTCAAAATCAGGAAAGAGAGCTCTTTCCAAATATGCGATGATATACAGGGGGTTCCATTTGAAAAAAAAATGTTTTCCACAAACCCTGTATATAAAATGATAAAATCAAGCAGAGAACACATTTTCTAGAAGGAAATGACATCTCATTCAAGTACCTTTTTCCAAAGTTCAAATATCTTTTTTCGTTTTCGAGATATCAGCTGTTGAAGTCGTGAAATCCATAGTCAATCACCCTGTACTAGCTGGGACATTCCGTGGACGTCCCAAGGACGTTGTGTGCTATTAGGGAAAACCTCCAATTTCACGTCGAGAATTTTCTGATTTCAATATAATGTGAATATAATGTGTTCTCAATGTTGATGCATCCTTCTTACTGTCACAAAAAACATAGTGTATTATACACGGCAAAAATATTAGATTTTACCTCACGGTTTTTTGGAGCTATAATTACTTCTTTTTTCCCTTGTATAATGAATAACTATATATTTGGGAGTTGCTCAAGTGCAATGAACACTCAGGTGCATGAAACATCAAAAACAACGTGGCTATTACCTCAAATGAATGTTTGTTAGGATATACTGTACCTTCGCCCGTAGATTCCATTCTAGAAGCAGTATTGACGGTGTCCCCGAAAAGGCAGTACCTCGGCATCTTGGACCCCACGATGCCAGCCACTACGGGTCCCGTGTGAGCCCCAGACCTTATCTGAAGGCGCTCCGATTTACGATGCGGGATCTTGAACTGCGTGGATCCCGCGAGAAGGTCCAGCGCCATACTCGCTATTTCAGTAACATGTTTGTTGCCTGTAAACCAGGGTGCACATTGGGACACAGACAACACAGGTGTCGCAGGGCAACACAGGTGTCGCATGGCAGCACAGGCAATACAGCACAGGATAACTGCATACAGGTTTTCACTAGACACGTGGCTGAGCGCACATTGGGAGGTAGCTTTTCGCAAATTGCTTCTTATATTCAAGGTGTAAGTTAGTAATGAATAAATTCATGGACTTATCATCAGAATGGGAAGCTGAATCAGAGATGTTGAGGGTTGTTGTAATGTATTGAGAAATATTTCCAAAGACCACTTTTCACATCTGCTCGGGCTTTTCAGATATAAAAAATAGGGACACCTTTTTCTGTGTTCTCACGTATATCGGGTTTTGATGGTGGAATGGTGAAATGAACAAGTTGAACAACCATAGATATTAAATACGTGTTTTATTTCCGAAATGAAACATCTGGCGACAAGAAAAATCGAATAAATTTGTAAAATGAGTATTGTTGATACAAAGATATCTAGATGTCATGACTGGTCGAAGCATTGGTCATTCAAATCTGTTCGATTACGAGGTTTCGGACTGGGCGACTTTCTTAGCATACATTTCAAGCAGTATTTGACCCTAAATGACATCAGTGATGATGCGAAAAAAGGAGCGTTGTTATTAAACTGTTCAACGGAAGGAAAATTCAAAGTGCTGAAAAAGTTATGTGTTCCAGAGGATCCAGCGAGTTTTGAAGATTTGAATGATTGCTAAATGAACATTTCAAACCAGTGAAAACATTTTTTGCTGATAGAATGAAGTTCTACAGAGCGAATCTGTTGTTGATTTTGCTACCAGGTTGAAAGGGTTGACCGCAAATTTGGAGTTGAACTCGAAGTTGTGTTACGGGATAGTTTCGTGGATGGAATGTGCATATAGGACCAATTTTCGACCGACTATCGGAGTAAGTCCACATCCACTTTAGCGTCTCTTTTGGAAATCGAATAAGGGATATTGTTTAAACAACTAGGAATAAAGAAGAAGGAGAATGCATCGAAATATGAAAATTCAGGTGAAATGGATTCTTTATGTGATTTGAATAAAAATGGAGTGTTAGGAATACTGGTTGTGATTCCAAATGAGTATTCAACGAGGTTGAGGCTTAGAGAAGTTATTCGTAAACTGGAAAAATTCTCACCCCGTTGAGTATTCATTTTCTTTTATTAATGGTAGAGTGATGTAATGTATCGGCAAATATTTCCTAGGACCACTTTTTATATCTGCTCGAGTTTTTCAGATATATGTATAAAAAGTAGGGACACCTTTTTCTGTGTTTCTACGGATATCGGGTATTGAAAACATTGTAGTCAGTTCATCATGGATGGTGGAATAAACAACCAATAAATACGTGTTTTATTTCCGAAATAAAATAGTTGTTTTGTAACGTTTGGTGGAAATATAAAATCTTATGAGCCGCTTAACACGGGATATCGAAATTTTTCAATCAACTTTGTGTCAGCATAATTTTCAAATACTTGGTCGAATAAGAAGACATTACTTTCCAGATATATGACCCACATACAAAATTGATACCGTTCACTGCTTTATCCTCCTTCAACCGGTATCTTACTTTGGCTTATAAAACTCAAAATTTCTGACATACGATGTTTTCACTGCAAGTAACCAGATCAATTCCACAACTCAGGTTGAGCATCAGTGACTATACATTATGAAATTCTCATATCGTGGCTCAACATATCACATAGACAAACCTAAAAGAAATGTTTAGTGTTCAACAATAATGAGTTCACTGCTATGAGGCACCAAAACATTCAATTTTTGGGAACTATCAACAATTTGGTCGATACTCTCAACAATATTACGCCTTGCGGTAGACAATTTAAATATCTTAGGAAATAATTATTTCGTTTCGAGGCACAATTTTCACTGACTACTATAGAAACCGTTCATTTTAGATATGTCATAAGAATACAGGGTGTTCAATTTGCAATAAGAAGTTGAATTCCACTTCTAGTCTATGGTTTTTTTTATCGCTTGGAGCGCACGAAAGGGAATCCCTATACTGTTCAAAGAACATCGTGCGTTCCTAGGGGGGATAGGTTGTTTCATCATTGCCAAAGTAATTTCACGGGACCCACGTTTCTCGAACAAGTGATTCAAGACTAACCTAGAATTGGAGTTTAGTACTCACCATTCTTAACCGGTAATCCAGAAGCAACCATATAAGAGTCTCCGATTGTTTCAACCTTGTAGACGTCATAACACTCTATCCTAGCATCGAATTGTTTGTAAATTTTATTGAGAAACGTCACTACCTGAAAGGTTTTTTGAATGTTGTTACAGTTGTAGTATACAGTCACTTCTAAGTTGAATTCGAAATGTTATAAGGAGAGAAAATTATTTGGGAAAGTTCGGTATTTCCATGAAATTCAAGAGGACTAGAAATATATACAGTCACTGTGAGGATTATTATTTCCATGAGGAATAGGCGACTGAGATTGAGATCGTAGCGCCAGAACGGCGAATGTCGGTACTACTTTATGGGCCATTGGCGGATTGTTAACATTGTTTGGTAATGGTGTTTATGTTCATTTAGTTTCGAGTTTTCAAACGTCCAGCCTTGGTATTTCGTCTATTTTCGAACTTTGTATTTTCCAGCGGTCTACTGTGTTTTGATTGAGGACTATATTATCTCTGTTCAACATTAGATAACATCCCTACCTCTAGTTGAACTTCATATATACCAACATCATTTTTATCATTATTGAACAAGAATTCTCATGAAAACCTGTGTGGGATGTTGATTTCCAATTCGAATATATAGCTGGGATATTCCCCTGATAGTGCATGATATTTTTAAAACAAAATCCAGCAAACTTTTTGGGAATAAAGTTTTCTTTGGAAGGTGAATTTAGGTAAACAGTTTCTACTTGACTTTTTACAACATAATCATCGAAACCCTGATTGATAACATTCTTTACTGTTTAAAAATTCTACTGTTCATGAGTAAAGATATAATCAGTTTGAGATTTGTTTTGTTCATTTACCACCACCTCAAGAAGTAGGTATTATATTCATAATAAACATACATTTGAAAATATACCTATAGGTATGAGTTAATTTTCAGTGAAGTGTAAAGAACAATATCTCATTATGTTCAGGCACTTTACACTTTTTCCAATCTTCAAGTTATGAATCCACACCTTTCTCCTACCGATCACTTCCTTGTTTCCCAAATTATTAGTTTCAAATACAAATTTAGACTGTCCTGATTTTTGAAAGGAATGAAAGCTATACTCGGGATTTTTTTGCTCAAGATGAACAATGAGGTACACAACAATGATGACTCATGTTTTTAAACGTTTATAGAAGTTCTCAAACAAAATTATAGACAATTAAAACACAACTACTTCTCATACAAAATACACGCAAACTAATGTAAACAAAGCAATTAATGGCCCATACGTTAGTTATATTAGACAACGGTAGAGGGAGTACTCCTTAGCATGAATCGCCTATATTCTTTCAGACCTTGTGAATTAATTGTGAATTGAAAACGAAGACTCGTTAGTTTTTGTTGAAACTCTTGTTTTAAAGTTATATCATGTCTAATCGTCGCTTTCATCAACAGTCTTATTGCTCGTGTCGCTTCAGCATATTTTTTATGACCTTATAGTTCTGAATTATTCGAATTTATTCAGATTATAAGCGTCACTCTACTCTATACTTTTCCAATCTCAATGTACCAATTGAATGACTTGAGACTACGAGCTATGTTTGTACAAGGATATCATGCATCATATTCCATGGCCACCACTTGACATATGTTATTTTCCACACTTTATGATCTGAATCTGCCCCACATCACGAAACAGAAATATTTCATATATTTTTTCCAAAGAAAAATCAATCGAAGATATGATTTCTTTGAAAACAACCTTCCTTTCTGCCGGACCTGGTAGTAATCAGAGGATAAACTTACTTCTAAAGGCGTACTCACTGCTGCGATTTCAGTAAATCCGACAATATCACTGAAATATACAGTGACTGAAGCATAGTATTCAGCTGGTACCTGAAAATATATAAAATGTATTCATGTTGATCTTCCTGATCACGTTAATTTGTATTGCTCCTTTCGCATGTTCTTGTACAGGGTGAATGAATATGGTTTCACACTTTCAACACTCAATATATCGAAATCTAAATAAGATATATCGGAAACTTCGGAACAAAATCTCAAAGAGATAATTCACAATTGTCATGATTCAAAATATGCAATGAAATATAGGGTGTTTCACACCCTCCGTGTATGAAATGGAGATATAATAATGTTCGGAGAGCACCATTCTGAAGAGAATATCATCTGATTCAAGATGTTGTTTAGGAGTTTCCAATATCTTACCCAGTTTCCGAGATATTTAGTGTTGAAAGCGTGAAATCCATAGTTTATCACCATGTACAAGGTGAGCGGAACTTGATATTTCATCTTTTTAACAGAAAAAGAAAACGATAGAAAAAACCTGAAAAGGAAGGCGAGAATGGTCACTCATGATATCATTCTATTGAAAGATCCACGTTGTAGTTATGGCGTAAGTGGCGTGTAGTTGTAGCGTTTTTTAAGTATATTCATTAATTCAGTTGTAATCTAGAATGTGATAGATACCGATTCCCCTCACCTTGTTTTCTGATCAAGGCAATCAGCTCTAGAGAAATCATCAGTTGTACCAGTCATCTAGCAGTCAAATATTGTGTGATAATTACCTGTCTTGTTTGTTTCAACTGCGTCGCTACACTCGGCGGCAACATTTGGAAGAGCAGCAGATCGCTCTTCCTCTTTTCTACTTTGAGTTCCTTGGCCTTTTTGGCCAAATTAGCAGCGTATAACTAAGCAAACGGTTACCGAAATCATCGATGGAAGTATCGAAGGGATAGTCACCTGAATAGTGGCCACTGCATTCCTAACTAACCAGATGATCACTGGAGAAACAGACAGAACGAGAACGAGCGTTCCGATCCCGATGGCTTCTCTGTGTGCTGAATCTCGTAGATTTTCGTTCACGTACTCCCTGATGAGAAACATATATAGGTATGTAAACTCTCAAGAGGCCTTTCCAAAGAATGATTTGGTGAAGAGGCTGCTAAACCTTATCAAGGTAGCGAACCTGTTCACCTTAGTCAACAAGCATGATCAGGAATACAATAGGCCCAAAGGCTGCAGTGTTTTGGGCTTCAAACCCTGACTGATCATTCTGCTATTAATCAATCAATCAATCAAGTCAATAATTCAGCTCGACACTGCTGTGTCTCTTCATTCTAGTTTTTTTATATAAGTATACCAGAAACTTCACAATATCAAGTATTGATTGTGTTCAATTACTCAACTGATTTCCAAAACCGATGCACGAAAGTATTTGCAATTGAAAGGGCTTCAAAATGATGTTTTGAAAGTAGGGTAGAATTCGGTTTCCTATAGTTGAAGGGGGGAGTGGGTCAACTTATCGTTGGAAGGCCTTGTGTGTTGTTGAATTCAGTCTCTATAGACGTCAGCCTATGCGTGATTCCTTGATTCATCTTCTTCATTTAGTTTTGTAAAGTTTTAAATAGCATGTCAATATCAGAAGAATACTAAGCGATGAAGAAACTATAAAGTATATAGGCTATATTCCTAATTCAAATGCATGCCAGTACTGAATCTGCTGATTTTTCATTCGGAAATCAGAACATTCACTGAAAGTGACAGATATTTGTGTGGCACCAGCCAATGGAAAGGCATCTGACTCGACCCATACTCAAAGTGACTAATAAAGGTAAAGTCTCTGTAATGTGAACGGTATAAGGTTGGATAAATTGATAAGATATTGTGGAGAAAAGTCATACTAACACAGAAGCCTACTACAATTGTGAGCAGACATACTACCCCAAATATTTCGACTCAACATCCTGCTGAAATTGCTGACTATCGAAAGGTAGTGTGGCGTGTACCTTCAGTGAACTGTCATTATTTCAGGGGGGGGGAAGGAATATTGCATTTATTTCATCATTTCCGTTGTTTTCTAAACATTAAGTCTTATCATATTAATAATAAATTGATAATATCATTTTTGATAACAAAAAATTCCTATTATTCGAATGATTGACGATGAGAATGATATTCAAATTTCACCAGCTGATCAACTGCTGCTGATTACTGATGAAAACCGTGAAAACGAGATCCGAATTACAGCACTGTATTTTTGATTTTATATTTCGGAACACAGATTTTCAGCAGTGAGTAAATCTACTGACAGTACTGACCAGTTGAATTCGTAATATAGTCATACTCTTTTTGCTCGGTTCCTAAATCGACACCAAGGAAAAATATATCCAACTTTCCACGGTAGCAGCGAATATTACTTTCTAACTAGTATACCACAGTCTAGTACCTAGCTTTGTTACTACGTAAACGCCTAATTTGAATTAAGTTGATAGTTTATTATACTTACTGGATGATGACACGAAGTGATCGTTGTATTTTCCTCAGTTCGTCTGTGTAAATTGCCATTAGGTCGAAGTATTCTCGAGCTTTGAGGTCACTTGCATTCCTTTGTACATTTTGCAGGATTATATTGTTCCTGAAATTTTTAAATCACTTTTTCAAGCAACATAATACTCCAAAATATGATGATTTTAAGTATTTTGGATGAGGATGATGGCCATTGGGATGATTGAACACATCCCATAGGTAGTTAGTCAATGTGTTCCTCTGGGATTATAGCATATACGACACTGTAAAGTTGAAGCAACCATCAATATAACAAATGCTCAGTAGGTAACGAAAAAACATGATTCTGTTAAAGATTACAGATTATGTAAAATTCTCAACTACCTTGTTTCAGAAAACTATTCCCACATAATTATGGGGTTCAACATCCGAACATACGAGGATACTCTAAAATTCCATTCAAAGACGAAATCCTTGACATCATTTGAACATCGCGGACAATAGATGCTCCCACGATAATGTTCAGAAATAACGTCCATCATTATCACAAGCTCATTCAGCAAATAATTTTCTCGTTAACCTTCAGATTTGTTGAACAGCTCTTTACCAAAACTCTTCAGTCAGCAGAACGGCAAAACTTTAGAATCTTTTGCAAAGTCAAATATTGAAAAACGATGTTATACGCATCTCTAAAATCACGTAATAAGAATGAGGAATTCAGAGGAATTGAGAATTACGATAATGTAGACGCCTAGCGTTACCGTATCGGTACACGCGTATAAAGACACAATATCGTTCGAAATAACTTGCATTTACTCATGAAAACTGAGATGAGTATCACTGATATGTTCGAAGAACTGCTTACCTTAGGAAGGATACAGGGAGAAGGTTGATATTAGATTCTTTTCTGAAATGAGTATTATGAGCTGGCTAATGGATGATGGAATCTAAGAGCATCAATGTTTGTTTGGGTGTTGAATCAGGGTCTACTCTATTTTACCGAACTCCAGAATGTATGGGAATAGTATTCTGAAACGGGCAGTTTCTGTGCTTAGTAGATCATGAAAAACTGTTGGGGTGTAAATGTAGATTGTAAAATGTGAATGTAAATGTAAGATGAATATCATCTCGTCATACATAATAAAAAACAGATGACAGGGATCGAATTTCAACAAGAATTCTCAGATGTCAGTTTGGTTCTGATTTCTAGTAATATTATAGAGAGATGAAAATTGTGTTTATCATGAAGAATGACTTTGAGATAACTGGACTTCAGGTTAACCAGGAGGGTGTGAAATCCGAAATGAGTTGATTCGAATAAAGTCATGTATCCTGTTGGTGAGAGATATAATTCCCATATCACTTGATACGAATGTTTTGTTTTCTTGGATGTTCCAAGCTCATCAAGATCAGAGTTTATATAAGTATACTTTTCCTATACATTTCAATTTTCATTTTATTACTGGACATATTGGTAAGCTATATTTTTATATCATAATACATCACATTATTCATCAGATTTGAGAGAATGTCGATTCTCAATTTCAGAGGATTTTTCGGATGTGCATCAGATATGTTCGACGTGGCAAATAGACAAGAAAGTAGTTGTTTTCTGTTGAATATTCAGAATAATATCATGTGCATATACATAAATTTTCATCTGTGTGTAGCTAGAAAATAAGTTGTTTTCTGTTGAATCAACCGAGAGAGAATTGTTTTTTCATCGCATAGAGAATGCAAATTCTCAATGTATTTCTTCATATATATATATATATTTTTTTTTTCCATGTTCATAATTTTATCTCAGAATATTCCATTTCTGTAAAGTAGGTTTTCGCACAAAATGAAAATCCGAGTGTTTGTGATGATTATGTTATAAGAGAGTGTTGCTGATGAAAATACCGATCATATGGATATGGTGGACTTTGTGGAAATAGTGGCGCCAAACATCGATACATCAGGTATATTGTTTCGCCTTTCTAGGGAAAATTTAGGCTCGAATTTTCGTGTCGATGAATTCAAATAGGTTCCTCATTAACAGCGTTGTCCTGCCTTCTTTGTGAGTTCCAAGTTTCCTGGGAAGCTGGGAATTCTGGAAGAAAAGGCAGTATGGATAGTACTTTCATAAGCGAAGTTTTCAACAGGGATTATTCCCAACAGGTCATTGATATGGATCCACCTTACCACCATATGTTTGTGGAGAAGTCCTTGGTGCTAAACACAGTCGAATGTTCTCGATATCTTCAACGCCACAGCTAGAGCTTCCTAATGTTATTTTTAGAAGCTTGTCATATATGAGTAACGTAGGTGAGTGAATCTTCAGTTGGTCTCACGTTGATTTTCGATAGTGAAAGCCATATTGTAAGTCAATAATGATTCCTGAGATTTCCAGATATTTTAAAAGCTGATGTCATTGGTTTCCTTTATCACTTCGGAAATAAGTGATCATAAACAGAGCGATAAATGTTGCAACCATTACATCGATTTGAAATCGCTGACACTTTGGTTGTTCACTTATACCGTTGATCAAATGAATGCTGATACACTTATCATCTTTACAAGGCCGATGCCGATAGGTAGCAAACTACCGAATCCGTTATTTTCGTATCGGCATCTGTCGTTCAAGACTTCTCGTAATCCCGCTGAAAGATTACATTTTGATTCCGAGAAAAGGACAAACCATGTACCTGGTAATTCTACCGAAAAATATCAACATTGTGTTGTCATGGAATAGCTTGGAAATATCACAATATCATATAACTGCCGCCAGCCGTTAAACAATTTTAACGGACGGAGGCTGTTAACATTGACTTTTCAGTTATCATCTGAATACCGTTTTATCAAGATAACAGTATATGGAATTACAGAAATAAACTATTTCGTTCAGCTGGACCATTCTAGCTTGGCCCCTGAGTAGCGCGAACGACAAACAGAGATGGTTAGTGTGCGACAGAGATCCACGACGCCTTTTCATTGGGAATTAAAATCGTACTGTACTGTTTTAACCGATTTTCACTGAACCAATTCTTCGACAATGATAAGCTCTCGCTACACTCCGCCGGCTGGTTTACTGCGCATCCAATTCTCAGAGGCCAAGCTAGACTGGTCAAGCTGTACCTGAGTTGGATATTGCCATAGTTGGGCATATTAGCAGCCAAATCTTGATATTCCTTCTTCATTTGCGGCACATAATTGAAGGCAGTGTTGAGCAGATCATTGGCTAATGCAGAATGAGTCACGAAGCTGATATAGCTCAATAGCTGGAGGCGGCCTTGACCGAAGTAGTTGACACCATACACGCTCGCTATTCCTGTGCTTTCGATGCTTTTCAGCAAGTTTTTGAAGGCCAACAGATATCTGGAAATAATGAATAATTTGAGTAATGCTGATAGTGTCAATGGGACAAGCAAGAATGCACGTAATGGTCAACATATATGAAGATATATTATACACATTCTGAGGTAGAGCGCATAGTATATTCTGTATAATTTGATAGGAACAACCAGATCTCATCAGAACTATCTAGTGGCAAGAGTATGAAGGTGTATAAATAGGTTGTTTGAACGTCTTTGTTTTTTTTTCGCTTGGTGCTCACGAAAGGGAATCCCTATAATGTATATATAAGTATTGGAATTTTGCTTTGAAATACTTCCTTTGGCAATTGATTCCAGAGCTGTCCCGTTCTATAGAGAAACGAGTTTTGAAATATTCCTGTTCCATATTTCGAGGTTGACAACGAAAGTAAGTGGAAGGTCGCCCACCTTCCTACGGTGTTCCAATGATGTCAAAGTGTTAGTGATAGTGTGGCATCATCCACCAGGCGAATGGCTCTTCTCTGGATGGAATCTAAGTGCATCAAAGTATGTTTGGTGGCTGAACCCTATATGCGAGTATTCTAGAACAGGTCGTATGAGTGCATTGTAAATCATGGAAAGCTGTTGAGGTGTAAATTGGCTTTTCGCATGGAATGAAAATCCGGGTTTTTGTGAAGCAGCTTTGGCGATGGATCTGACATAATTATCCCATAAAAGAGTATTGCTGATGGAGACACCAAGCATAGATATTGTTGGCTTGGTGGGAATGTTGGTATCATACATTGTTATGGCAGGCATACTGAGTTCCGCCTTTATAGAGAAAATATAGGCTTGACACACTGTCACAACTCTCCAACTCATTCGGTGGTGATCATGCAAGTTGATGATTGAATCTTGGTTCCTTATATGGACATCAATTTTCATTCATTAAGTTTTGTCTGACCCATCTTTTTGACATATCCTCTGTGCCCATTTTACAATTTTCTAACAATTATTTCTCTTATTTATATTATTATACTTTGTTTGCTTATTGAGACACATCTATTGTATTTAAAACCCTAGAATAACAAATTCAATACTTTATCCCACCTCCAAACGCCACTGTTGTCGTTCTCCTTGATTTGGTTAGTGAGATGGTCTAGAAGGGCAGCATTTACAGAGGTGTACCAACCCAAAACGTCCATAACCGTGCTTTCATTCACAGTCTGCCTGCAAAACAAAAAAAAAAAAAGCATCACACAATTATTGCCACCTTAGAAATGTGAAATTTGATCATTGTTAGGTTTTTGTGATTTCAACTACTGCAGAGAACTATAATGTCATTCAACTGATTGTGCATGGAGGCGTATTTAGCCAAATTCATGACTAATATCTTGCTCTCCTCGATATTGGAGGATTTGAAAAGATGTGACATAATTTATTGTCAATTAGAGAAACGCAGCACTCTTTTCAGGACATCCAGAAGACCAAAAATCAAGATCTTTTGATGCTCGTATCTTTCAGGAAGCAATCCAATCACCACTGCTAAGCGGTAAACAGTTTATATTCCACTGATACTACTATACTATCGCAATCAATCTTTGTGAGCAGTGTAAATCTCTCAGAACCATGGTCTCTACTTGGATGGTAATTCCTCACAAAGGGGAGTGAAATTCTTAATCTTTTTTTTTTACTCGGAACTCGGGATTTTCATCTTATCTCTATCTTTTCGGTGTTGTAATGAAGGAAATGAATCACGATTTCGAACGTATTCGTATATAAGAAAAGGTTAAGGCAGTAGACGTATAAGGAGAGATGGGGATGACTTCATAGTGAGTTCAATCTCTTAATATCTACAGGGTTATACGTTTTTGGGGACAGATGCTTTTTTCCAAACTTCGTAGTACGCCACTAAAATTTCTCAGTCATCAAATTGGGTGCTTCGTTCAATTTAGAGGCTTTCTTGTTCTACAATTACTTTCGAGGAACTAACCTTTTTTGAGAAAAATAAGCACATCATTTCTAAAACATGTTAATATTTCCTATGTTTCGCTTAGATTTCATTCTTGAACTGAATGCGTTAAAATACAATGAAATGAACTGGAATGGCAATGTTTTCAAGCATGATCCTAATCTGGTTCCGTAATGGGGATACGGTGGGTAGAAGGTCAAAGTTTTTTAGTTTTCAAAGTTGCTTAAATGTTAAATGGTTTATGCATACATTCTATTACTTTGAAAATTCTCAAGATTGTATAGCACCCCAAAGTTTAGTGAATTCTCAAAACGAATATTTTACCTATCTATTTTTTGAATTCATAATTATTCCGAGAATTATTCACTCCATGATTTTGAATGAACCCTGTAAATTCAGTGGTACATATGCAAAATTAACGAATTTTCATTATTTTCATCATTATTGTTATTATTATTATCATTATATGGAAAGATCAATATTGAAACTGATTGAATGTTGCGAACACTCGACTAGTGTGTACAACCCCATATTGTCAAGATTTGTGGAAATGCAATGTTAAGAATTGTTATTTGTCCATGTAAAATATCTGAATGTTCCGGCGCTGATTACCAAAATTCAAAAAATTATTGTTTGACCGCCTATTCGAATTTACAATGAAGCAAATAGAACGAGACTATAGAGAGAAGAATTTGCATTGAACCGAAAAGATTCACTAGGTGAACTCATTGACTAACAAATATTTCATAGGACGCAGATTTTTCAAATAGACATAGGATATTCAACATATTTGATGAAAAACAGCTGTTGAAGTTTTGTGAAATATTATGCTTGATAATTCGATGTTGGCGCTATCACATACAAACAGTGGATAAGTGAAAATATATAGTCATTCAGGCTATGACATTATGGGGTGGAAAAACGACGATATTTATCGATTGATTGATGATGAGAATTGAATGATAAAAAAAGCTATGAAAATCGGGAAACATTAGCATCTACTGCCCCCCCCTTTCTTGGTTGCCACTGTTTACCGAGAATGAATGAATGAATAAATGACTGCTTTTGGGTGTATGATAAATTGACATTCATCATACAGGGCGTGGAAAGAAATTCTGAATTGAGACTCTATCACGAATCTGCGATTAGAATAAATGACTGTTCATTTACAAGAAGAATTTTCACAAAAAAATGGGTAAGATCCTGTGGCATATATGTCTAGGTGGAATAATAAAACCCAACTCAATTGACATGGACAGACGGTAAATAAACAGAAGGGGATACCCGACTAAGTTCATTGAAAAACTTGTCTCCGGGAGATCATAATGAATCAATTTCCACTATCTGGAATGCGTCTTATTTATGTTATTCTAGCCAAATGAAGTTACCTGTAGAGTTATACAAACCAAAGTGAAAGTAATCCTACAAAACTAGGTAGACTTCAATACTTGAAAAAAGTTTTCTTTTTCCTATATACAAATATTCGAATACACATATACACATAATTTGAATTTATAATACATATATGTATGAGTGAAAAAACAATGAATACTCAAGAAAAGAACTGAAAAATAAACATTGTTTATGAGATTTCCTGTGGCATATATCTAGGTGAAATAATGAAACCCAACTCAATTGACATGAACAGACATTGAGTAAACAGAAGGCGATACCCGACTACTTTCATTGAAGAACTTGTCTCCGGGAGATCACAATCAATTTATTTTCACTATCTGGAATGCGTCTTATTTATGTTATTCTAGCCAAATGGAGTTACCTGTAGAGTTATACAAACCAAAGTGAATGTAATCCTACAAAACTGTAGACATTTTTTCATTTTTTTTATTTTTTCATTTCCTATATACAATATGCAAATACATATGTACTCATATTGAATTTTAAATACATATATGTATTAGTTAAAACAATGATTACTCAAGAAAAGGACTGAAAAATAAGCATTGTTTATGATATTTCGAGTATTAGTCTGATCAAACGGTATTTCAGGGTGGAAAGTTCTGGTGTAATCGTTTTCATTGGCATATTCTTCATTTCTTGGTGTGCTAAACACGAATCTGAAGTTGTCCACCAAAACTTTCATCGGCAAATATCAGAAAATACCAAAAGAGCACACAAAATTATGTTTTTTAATGGTTTTCAGCTTTCAACTCGCGAAGGAAGCCGTTCACACAAAAAATCAACGAGTAGTAAAATCAAGGGGAAAAAATTATCTACAATTCATATGTCATGATACTTTTCGGTATGTCATATTGTTTCCATGCAAAAGAGTGTTGAAGTTTTAGTGGAATCAGTGATTTTTGGAAAAAAATAAAAAATTCAACTAATTCATAGTTTTTATTCCAAATAGATAAACATATCACTGTCAAATGAAATTCTCCTCCTAGACACAGACTCCGTGGCTTCTCCAGGGCAGCTTCCGAGTTCTTCTACGCCTGTTACAAATAATCATTGACTTAATTCAATAATTTCAACAATATATCAATTAGATATAAAAGCAATACCCATTGAGGATTTCTTCGACATTTTTATACGTACTCGACTTATTTATCGTTATTGATTATTGGTCGAAAACACAAATGAATTGTGAGAGGAAAAATAAAGGTGCGAAAGAATTATTCATGTAGTTATTACCTTTCAGAGGATCAGACAACTCCGAATCATCCTCTGCTTCTTCTTCAATGGCTGGCCATGTTATTGCAGCTATTATCACAATTTTTGGGACCCACAGTTGGTCTGACAGGTTTTCATGTACTTGTAGGATATAAGATTCAGAACTGCTTCTGGAACTGGTGACTGTACCGTTGGTACTGGCATGGTTTTTTCCAACCTCATTGCTCGGGATCTTTTGTGGTCTCCGAGCCACTGTTGCACTTGAAATTATACTCTGTCATGCTGCAGCTTCCGTATATGGGCACCGAACATGAACAGAGACGTTTATGTTCGGTGGTATGGGGTAAGGATGCCAAATGGGCTGTTGTTCTATTTGCAGACCTAAGGTATAGCATTTATACCCCAATTTGTTCATGGACGTATCTTCCTTCTCGTTAATTTCATACACTGCAGTAAAAAAGGTGATGCCAGCATTGATAACAGTATCAGCATTCGCCGTAGGATCTTTGAAACTTTGAACAATTACGATTTAAGCAGGATTTTTCGATTGTTGGAGGAAATTGAATTTTTTCAACTTTGAACGAGGCCGAGGTTGTGTCACATCCTCCCATGGCATATAAGAACTGTATTTTGCACTTATAGACATGCTCTGGTGCACAGTCAGTTGAAAATATGAGTTCCGAAACTGCTCCTCTACTTGGCTTTAAAAAGTATACATTCGAATGTACACCCAGACAACGACCAATCATGATCACCAACAATTCTACATCTCCACCCACAATAACTACAGAATTATGCGGTGGTGCGAGATCCATTGCTGTGGTGACAATAAGTTTATCTGCGTCCTCTTGTGCCTAATTTGTGTGAATCCAGGCTGCCGAAGATTTGTTCTTTAATATTGAAATGAGACGGATTTTGTTCTTCATATTACCAAGGAATTTGCAAAGGCACTGTCGCGATCATTGTTTCGTCAAACATGATATCAACTGATATCTGTTTGCGTGATCTTCTTGTTCGCTCAGCATGTTTAGTACCATCTTGAAGGTAACCATCGAATACGACTGTAGCACTGCCTTTGTACTTGGACTCAACAAATGCAACATAACTTCCACAAATTGATGAACATCATTGACCCCTGGTCCACACCACCTCGTGGAGCAAATATCCTCCATCTAAGACGTACATACACCCTTGGAGATTTGTCTGTTCAGTTGGTGTGAATGCTCTGTACAAGGCAGACTTGGTTCCTTTTCTCATTCCATAGTCATCAAAAAGATGCAATGGATACGGGCACAGTTCATATTTTGAGAACTTCTTCGAGTTCTTCGCCAGATTGTTTAGCAATTGTGATTCTTTAAAAAATAGTCGTGAGATTATTCGGAATGGTTTCATTACTCATTTCTAATTCCATTGGGAATGCACCAGTTAATCCTTCGCGAGTTGGAAGCTGAAACCATTTGAAACATGATTTTTTGTGCTTTTTTGTATTTTATGATCACCAGCACCAGAAGCAGTTTTGAATCTAATATCCTACAAGTGCATGAAAACCTGTCAGACCAACTGTGGGTCCCAAAAATTGTGAAAATAGCTGCAATAACATGGCCAGCCATTGAAGGAGAAGCAGAAGATGATTCGGAATTTTTCTGATCCTCTGGAAGGTAACTACATGAATAATTCTTTCGCACCTTCATTTTTCCTCTCACAATTCATTTGTGTTATCGACCAATAATCAATAACGATGAATAAATCGAGTACGTATGAAAATGTCGAAGAAATCCTTAATAGGTATTGCTTTTATATCTAATTGATATATTGTTGAAATTATTGAATTAAGTCAATTATTATTTGTAACAGGCGTAGAAGAACTCGGAAGCTGCCCTGGAGAAGCCACGGAGTCTGTGTCTAGGAGGAGAATTTCATTTGACAGTGATATGTTTATCTATTTGGAATAAAAACTATGAATTAGTTGAATTTTTTATTTTTTTCCAAAAATCACTGATTCCACTAAAACTTCAACACTCTTTTGCATGGAAACAATATGACATACCGAAAAGTATCATGACATATGAATTGTAGATAATTTTTTCCCCTTGATTTTACTACTCGTTGATTTTGTGTGTGAACGGCTTGCTTTGTGAGTTGGAAGCTGAAAACCATTAAAAAACATAATTTTGTGTGCTCTTCAGGTATTTTCTGATATTTGCTGATGGAATTTTTGGTGGACAACTCAAGATTCGTGTTGAGCACATCAAAGAGCATACTATAACCCACTGAAATTAATTACACCAGAACTTTCCACATAAAGCTGTTTTTGTGCACCATTTGATTGAACTATATGCCTTCTTTCTAAATCTAAATCGGATCAATAGCATACGAAAAGTACTTTCTATCCTTGAAGTATATCCACTTTTTGAGCTTGTTTCGAAAAAGTCTGTTGGATATCTCATTTTTCAGGTCATTCGGTAATTTATTATAATGTTTAGATCCTATAATGCAAACGCTCCGTTGACCGATTGCTTTATGGGTAGCAGGGATATATAAAGCTGCTACAGCATTCTGTCTCGTGCTACAGTTATGTAGTAAATTGTTTCTATATTGACTGTTAAAGTATATGAAAGAAATTGATTTTTAACAAAATAGTTGTCGTACGTCCATAACCTTGGCATCCATGAATAGTTGGTCTGAAGAATATTTGCGAGATTTTTTTAGTATAATTTTCAGAAACCACTTTTGAATGCGACTAATCATTCCTGAATAGAAGATAACTTTCCTTATGCTGGTTGGTACCAATGGTACCATTGCATGCACATTCAGTTATCAAAAACACCAAGTATTGCTCCCTAGTGATAACAAAAAAATATATAACCAAATAATAATGCCTCCAGCAATACGCCACTGTTTGGGTTTCAGTGAGAAATAATATGTATGCACTCTGATTCCATCTTTCATGAAAAGGATTTGTGTCTCATATTATATTTTAAGATGTTTGAAGACACGACAAGTTTGGCCTCACTCTCTGAAAAGCATGAGAAGTCAGATCTTATATAGAGGCACCCTGATACGAGAGTCACTGAATCTTCGATCCTACATAAATACTCTTTTCTCCTCTATATCATCGTCTAACTATAATCATATAGAGTCTATAAAATTAATTGATTTACCTGAATTTAGTCAAATTTGCTTGAAAAGTATCCTTATCGAGATGAAGCTTTTTATGTGTTTCGTACTGCAGTACTACTGGTGGCCAATCACTCATATTCCTTATAGCTTCATCTGTCAAGTTATAACGAGCTTCCAAATTGATTCTGGAACAAAATTTGATGATAAATCAGTTAATTTTGTTAGTGGAACTAACACTGTTTATGACATATTTGTGAAATCAAATAATTGTGGGGTGATAATTTTGTGAAATTTTATAGTAAGAGTTTGCAAAAGTACCACTTTACGCACGCTAGTAGAAAATAGCTATTTATAAATCAGGGGAGCATAGATTTCCTCTCCCTACCTCGTGTGATGAAATGAATTTTTATACTCTCGATCTACATATACAGTGTGTTCCAGTTGGAACTTGTCACCCTCTTCATCACCAAAGTCGTAGAAAAAATATTAAAAATCGCTGAGACTCGTATGTTCATCAAAACCTTCTCCAAAGAACATTAAATCGCTCAGCTTCTCAGAATAAATGATCTTCTTCAGAATAGGCCTATTTTTCATCGGAATGAAGGACCCTCACATTTTGTTGGAATGGTTCCCAATTTTCTGATGACAATTTTTATGGGATATGGACTGGAAGGCAAGAATCAGTTTGAATTGCTGATTCATCATCGTTTGACTTCTTTTATGGGTGGAAAAGTTTATACCATTTATAAGTTGATGCACACATAAAATATGAGAAATTTGTGAACACATTTCGAAAATCGCTCGTACTTTTTCGGGTGGTAAGGATTGGTTGAACCTTTTTAAAAAAGATGACATCATTTCAGGTAATGAAAATAAAAAATATCCTGTTGAAACTTAGTTTTCATCAGAACTTCCACAACACTTCAATTGCTTTACGACGATGTATTTGGTATTGAATTTCCTTCAAAAGCATGTATTACATGTATAGTAGTCTAACTGGAAATTTTGATTCAGGTTGTGCTGGAGATGAGGGTGTTGATGACAGCACTATGATAATGTATATAATGGATGTGTCTGGCGATTCTATTTTTTTTTACGACTTCGGCGTTGAAGGGTTGACAAGTTTTAGCTGGGACGAACTGTATGATTTTAACCACGAATGCATATGGTTGAAGCGTCATTCAAATTGTGCTTCAGGCGGTCTTCTTTCATATTCTGGTTCCCACGAAAAGAGATATCCTGTAATGTTCAGAGAACATCGTGAGAACCAAGGAAAATAAGGTAGGAATTTGTGCTCTGGTTGAATTTTTGGAGGTTATATGCCTCGGGGAACACCTCCCTTGGCAATGTATTCCAGAGCCTCGCTGTTCGTTGGATGGACTAGTCATTGGGAAGAGATGTTCTGCAGGTCTCCAAATTGACCACAAAGGCGTGCGAAGCCTCAACTCGACGGGTTAATCTCGCGAGGACTGCCAAGGAAGGTACAATTGTTGATATTTCAGAAAAGCATCGTCCATGAAAATATCTATAAAATAGAGCCAGGTCGCCAACTTTTCTACGGTGTTGCAGAGAAGTGAGTGAGTTTGTGAGCGAGGCATCATCCACGCGACGAATTGCCCTTTTTTGGACAGATTTCAACAGTGTGAGGGTATGTTTGGGTGCAACACTCCAAATATGGAAACAGTATTCCAGGACAGGTCGGATCTGTGCCTTATAGATCAGAAGCAGCTGACTGGAAGTGAAATAGCTCCTGGCCCGAAACAGAAAACCAAGTTTTTGGGATGCACTTCTCGCGATTGGTCTCACGTGATTTTCCCAAGAAAGGTTATTGCTGATAGTAATACCAAGCATCGAAATGAATCATTTCGAAGGTATGGTTAGTCCTGACATGCTTATGTTTGGCACAGTGAGATCGGCTTTTCTAGAAAAAAGGCATGCTTGTGTTTTGTTTGCATTGAAATCTACCAAGTTATTGGATTCCCATTCGAGAATTGTTGCCAATTCCATATTAATGTTGTCAACATTTCTCCCTCGTTCGTTTCTGATTTGCCTGGCTGGTATTGGAGCCCTGGAAGAGAAGGCGGTATGGAGGATACTATCATCCGCGAAGCTGTGTACTGCACATGAAGTTGCTTCCAACAAATCGTTGATATGGAGTAAAAATAGTGTTGGTGCTATAATTGATCCTTGCGGAACACCAGCATTTATGATAAGAGAGTCAAATGAAACTCCTTCGACCACTACATGGAGAAACCTGTTTGAGAGGAAACTAGCTTGCAGAGAACATAGCTGGGGAGGCGAGCCATAAGATGGGAGCTTGGCGAGGTGTCCGTGGTGCGAGACTCGATCGAATGCTATGGAGATATCAAGTGCCACGGCTAAGGTTTCACCATATTTTTCAATAGATTGCTGCCATATAATATGTGAGACGTAAGCGAGCAGGTCACCAGTTGATCTCTGATGATGGAAGCCATATTGCCTATCGTTGATAATACCTGAATGTTAAAGGTATTTCATGAGCTCGATGTTGATAGCTTCCTCCATGATCTTTGAAATAAGAGATAGCAGTGCGATCGGCCTGTAGTTGCTAGGTAAGGCCTTCTTGCCTATTTCTCAATGAAAATTAATTTGACATTTGACCACATTTGGAATATAACGAAGTGTATGAGATCAATGGAATTCAATAAAGATGAATTGGTTATTTGTTTTAAACTTGATATAGTGGTGTTGTTATGGATTATTTGGATTGCACGTCAAAGAAGCAAGCCGAAGCGAATTTATCTCACCTTCCATAGAAGGTATTATTTTTTTACTTCTTATGGATGTACTACTGGTACTGGTACTGGTGGGGGACGTTTCCACGTCAGCAACTAGTCCCCAATGGGACCTTTTTGCCAACCCCAAGTGTTTTCAATGACTGATGTGGTTCGCTCAAGAGAGCTGGCTAACATCCTTTTCAGGCACCGCCCATCAGCTCTCTTTTCAGAGTTTTTCAGCTGTGTTTTGTAGGCTAGTAATGTACTCACTACCATATGCGCAGTGGCAGGCCTGCTAACTATCATCGTTAACCCCCGAGACCGAGGTCTACTTAAGCAGCTGGCCCGCTCTCACGCTCAGCTGGTAGTTTTCCGCACCCACCTACATACACGTAGGCTAGTAATGTACTCACTACCATATGCGCAGTGGCAGGCCTGCTAACTATCATCGTTAACCCCCGAGACCGAGGTCTACTTAAGCAGCTGGCCCGCTCTCACGCTCAGCTGGTAGTTTTCCACACCCACCTACATACACCGTCCTACTTCTTCTCTGATGCTCACAACCACATCGTCATATCTTTCTGCGTGTTCTGTGTAGGCTTTGTTACTAACTCCATGCGCCACTTTAGGAGCAGCACTGTTAATTGGAACGCAACAGCGAATCGTGCAGGACTATCCCCAGCTGATGCTCCGAAACTTTACAATATTTAATTCGTAAATAAAATATTGAAAAAAGTTCCTTGCCCGTGCTGGAAATCGAACCCACGACCTTGCGGTCGTGAGACGGACGCTCTTCCACTGCGCCAATCCCGGCTTCTTATGGATGTAAATTGACAGCAGTATCTTTTCAAATGAGGTATCAAACTCCAATTTCCGATTTTGTGAGTAGATGAAATATATTGTGTTGTATAAGAAAGAATCATATTTTACCTCTTTGATGAACCATTAGTGAACATATTGAATGCCACTTCTGATCGTTCCAATTGCATCCTCATAACTACTTTTCCCAATTCTGTCGAAATTGTCACCTAGAACGAAATAAATGAAATAATTGTGTTGAATCAGATAATGAATAAATTAAGGGGCTATGCAGTTTCGGGCATTTGGCAGAGGTTCATTTTGCACATTCCCGTCCGTTTCAAGGTTGTCCAATGATATGATTTGTGCGTGATCATTCAAACTCAAACCAAACAGTGCATTTATTTCGTGCGAGTAGAAGTCATCGAGGCTCTCACCATCGGCGTGGTTCAGGTACAATAATGATCATATGTGCCCGGATTACCAGAGGGTTGATATTAGTTTTTCGCTGGGTGCATCCACGTGTTGGTCCACGTAGTGATGGAAGTCACGGAGAGTACTCCCGCAAAATGGTAACATCCCAAGTAGCAATTTCATATTTTATAAAAGTTGCGAGAACATTTTGGACCAGACAATCATAAAACAATCTTCATATGTTTATACAATGACTATTAATGTGAAATTGGCACCATTTCATGAAATACTTCACTCTCCGTTGATATTATATAAAGGCTTTCGCGATCATTACAAAACAATTTCAAAACCATTTCTGCAATTTTAACGAAATCTCTGCACTGACATTATAAAATAGATTTACAGAAGCTTTTCATACTCTGATGATGTAAAAGATTTATTTAGTATAGTCTGAACAGTTGCGAAAAAATAATTCTGAATTCATTTGATAAAAAGCAGTCACAATGAATAAAAATGTATGAATATCATAACTCTGATATATTTTACAAGGAAGCCATCCCAGTCCCACTCAGAACTTCAATATTCAAAAAGGACATTGTTTGTGATATAAAGACGGAACTTCTTGATGGGAATGAAATTTCATTGTGACATACATGGTATAATATTAACAAATTTTTCATCCTTCAACAATGTATGGATGTTTCTAAAAAAAAAGGTTAAGAAATGAGATTAACCGGCTCGATTATTTTCTGAGAGATTGAATATTTCAATTACTTCTAAACATCATTGTGAAACAATTTCTGCTGAAAATTTTATGAGCTGCTATGTCATCTCAAATATGATTTTATCTATTTCTAACTTGTCATTTTCGATATCCCAAATGTTACCATTTTTCAATAGCGCATCCTTATAAATCAGAAAAACATTGTTGACGAGCATTATGAAATTATTCAGCTTCTATGCAATTTCTATAAAATATCGAAAATTTGCTGGTAGCATTGTGACAGGACAAAGCTATCAGGCAACTCTTTATCTACAATAAAACTTCTTGGTCCCTCTTATGGAACTCTATACTCAACAATACCATCATTTGGTATTCTTATGATATTGATGATTATTATTTGGTGGTCAACGTTTGCATACGACGAAACCATAACAAAACCAAAACATCGATGAAAAATAACCTAAGGAATTTTGTCATCTTTTTCAATTGACGTATTTGTGAAATCATAATTTGTCATCACACAACACACATAACTTGCTCATGGTCGCTGGAGGTATGATTATTGAATATTTCTTTTTTTATGTACTCAGCGATAAAATTGGCAAGATATTCATTTTTGATAAAAAAAATCATTTTATAAAACAATTGTTGCGCTTTTTATTTCGCAATAGGAATGAATATCATGAATAGTCATGGAGTGGTCACCATAACAATTTTTTCCCATGAAATCGGAATTGTTTCTGAAGGAACTCTTATATAACTGTTGTTTAAGGAAACATGGAGGACACAGGAAGTAATAATTGCATGAGTTCATAATATATTTTTACCAAAATTTGAAATATCGCTGGAATCACATGGAAGAATCTATAAAATAATCAAATTTTTTAGGCAGAGATGTTTTATGAGTATTCTTCTGGAATGATTCGAAGACTGTTTTATTAGATATTTTTATTCCAGCTATGAAAACATTCTGGAGATCAATAATTTATGTACACACTAGATGTCAACAACAGAATTGTTCTTATGGCTGACTCAATGACATGAAAATGCATTTCGAAAGTATTCAAGAAATACCTATAAAATTGAATTATCACAGATCTGCCGAATTATAAAATAACTTTGCTGGTTGGTATGTCATCTGATTTATGGCCACATTTGAAAAATGTTGCCTCTTTTGTTCGCTCAAGTAATCTTCTGAAAAACATATTTTCGAGGAAGAAGGTTCATTTAGGCCGAATGAGGTTAGAATGGAAAGTAGTCTTTTTGGTTCGCTCAAGTGGTTTTACGGAAAATATACTTCCTAGAAAGGAAGTTCATTCAGGACTAGTTATGTTAGGTTGGATAGTTCAAAATGCTATAAATCGTCCTCCTGCCCGTTGTTGGCTTTGATTTGGTGTATATACAGCGTGTCTCACTTCAAACGCCCCCCCCCCTCTATATCTTAGCTATTCATCGGACGATTCTGGCCAAGTTTGGACTGTTGTAAATAACTATCGATATGAGTTTTTCAGAAAAAAACATAATTTTGGATAGTGCGATGCGTTCTTATTTGAATAAATAGGGGTCGATTTTTGATGAAATCACATTAGGCATTTTTTTCGGAAAAACTAACCGCATAATATTGTTGCTTATGGTTTCGAACACCCATATGTGAATTTTCATGTAATTTTTATGAAGAGTTCCCAAAAAACAAGCACATCTAAACAGCATTTTTGCAACGGTGAAAAATCATTAACCAGAAAACGGTGAGTTCAACAAAAATAGTAGGTATATCTTGTTTTCTCTTTTAAAACAGTATTTCCTGTACCTACAGGGGCCATCGAAAGTCCTGATATTCGGAATCAATTTGAATTAATTATTTGTTAGAGGCGAACAATGCAAAAATAAAGCCAATCCTGGTAATTTAATGAAAAATCTACAATTTTTATTTCAATAATTACTCAGGGCACTGTCGATAATGATGTTTGTATCTGAAAAACTGTTCAAATGGATGGTTATTCATATCATTCCAAATTCATACTACAGACTGTTTCACCACTAACCAAACTGATTTTTTATACGCCTCGACACTTGTCACTATTTCAGCATCTTCAGGAGAAGATTGGAACTGAATATCGATAGCTTAGTGGTAATACCACGTATCATCAAAAGTATCAAAATCGTGATTTTACGGATTCTTGTTCGTTAACATTCTTGGCAACATTGTGCGAAGTCACGTGGTGCTTGGACTAATAGAAACAATCAATTCCACTCTTATATATCTCATAGTAATACCACGTATCAACCAAAAAAGAAGTCTTGAGTAATCAATATATTATATGGTAAGTTTTTGAACCACATATGTGAATCATAAGAGATTGTTCATTACTTGAAATAGAATATTTAAAATGATTTCATCACATCAATCATAGTTTCATTCTGATGAAATAACTCCAACATTCTTGCAGAATACGATACTATTCATTGAAGGTGAATACATTTTGATATTCACAACCCGACAGCATAGACATTATCGCTACTAAACCATCGATATTCTATTCTATTGTATTATGTCCACCCAACCGGAGTTAATGTTTGTCATGGTTGAGTTCATATTATGTTCACCTCAATCTCATATCACTAAACTATACAGAGAGCTATACTCTTATTTCAAATGTGCCAGGTGTTCTTTGAGTCTTGTTTCAATGGGTCGCCTGGTTTGACCTATATATGTTTCATCACAATCATTATAACTCATTTCGTATATTCCTGACTTTTCGAGTGTGTCCATCGTATCTCTTGGATCGTCTAATAAATTGCCTGAGTCCCTTCGTGCACTTGGGATTTAACGGGATTGGGAATCTTCTTGAATTGTTTTTCTCCGCTTGAGAAGTCGTAGAATTCCGAAGTATTACTTAAATTTATGTCCACTTATTAATTTATTTCCTACGTATCTAAGTGTGTTAATTTCTTTTCTTGAAACATCAAATTCTAAGTTGTTTTCACCATTTTTGATCACAAAACAATCTAAGAATGGTTTTTGTCCGTTAATTTCGTATTCAAAAGTAAATTTGATAGATGGAAAAACAATTATTCAATTTCAGAATGAAGTTATCTTCGTCTGTGATTTTCATATCAAAAATTGCAAAAGTATTGTCCAAATTTGGTAAGTATCGTACAACTAATAGCTGTGATATGGTGGGGGCCATTTAAAGTAAGAAACGCTGTAAATATAGAATTAACTTTCGCGGATTGGTTGTCAGCAGCCCTAGTGCAACTGATGAGGCTTGAATAGCTGAAACAGCCGTTCTTTCATCAGCTTACAATCAGTTTACGAAATTATGATGGAAGTAACTCTCGCGGATTGGTTGTCAGCAGCCCTAGTGCAACGGATGAGTCTTGGATAGCCGAAACAGTCTGTCTTGCATCAGAGCTGACAATCAATTCTCGAAATTATAGTTCAATCCTCTAGTCAAAAGAATCTAGGTTGATAATGATGGTATTGGTTTTGCAACAAATATTATCATGTCTCTTTATCAGTAGTACGAGTTCAGTGTATCGATTGATTTATATCCAATTTTGATTGAGGTTATGAGAGAATGTGGTTTATTATATTCTATTATTCATATTATTCATGACTTATTATAATATAGAATTATATAAATGAATATAATATATAAATATATTTTTTCGCCCCCTACGAATTCCATGAATAAAAAGTGGGAAATAATATTCTTCCCAAATTTCGTATGGTTGAATCAAATAGGCTATAGTCACTGTTTCGTAAAAAATTGCCTAACAGTCGTTTTTGAAATTTTGACTCCTCCAACAAACGAAAGTAGGCCTTGAAAATGCGAATACTTTATATTCGTTCACATTACCGGATAGAGCTCGTTGAGTACAATATCATTGAAGTTTTGTTTTTGAAAATTGGCCGACGAGTTTCAAATTAGGAGGGTGTTGAAATCACACACACTGTATATTACGCACGAATGGAAAAATTTCAAGAGTGAGTAATTGCTTTACAACATGCATTATGTACTAACTATAGTGAAAAACAATTGAACATTATTTTCACCC